TTGGCTTGCCGCAGGGGCGTTGTTACTGGTCCAGAATACCAATTGCACCCCAGTGATATGGTTGTAGTACAAGTGAGTATCAATATTAATTTCTTTTTATATTGTGCGGATCGTTAGGCGTTTACCCGGTCTGTATGCCTTCCTTTATACCTCTTGTTCTCCAGTCACTTTCTTTTGGTAGAATCTTGGCACTCTCCCAATCGATGTTTTTTCGTGGTCCGTTACGTGAATTGTTTCTTAATAAAGCCTACGATTAAAAATGTATCCTTCTTAACTCGAAGAATAATCTTAGAGCAGTGTCTGTATATAGAGATTTGGCAAAAACGAACATCACATTCCTAAACATAGCATCCCTTAACTTGTATGTACTGATAGCCAAGTGTCTAAATTAGTTACTAAATAATTCAATCATATATTTCCTTAAGAAAAGGCAGAAAAGTAGAATGGACAGCCAACAATTTTAACATGTAACATTTCAAGGCGAAATAAATCATTACTTTTTAAGAAATTGAACACATTACATTCATTTGTAGGCTACGAAAAGAGATTTCCAGAAATGATGCCCGAAGACAAACATCTTCAACCATAGACCAAATATCCAAGATGTGAAACACTTCACAGCGCTAGCAAGGAGCCCTGTAGCCACTTTTCATTGATGATTGGACGTCCTAGCAGTCTTGGTTTTGAAGGATACAACTTGTTCTGCTAACAAATATATAGAGAATGTGCAATGGAAATGGAGAGCAATATGCTGAGTGTAATAGGAATGCAATCTAATAATGGACTCAAGGCTTTTGGATTATAAAAATATTTGGGTTTCAAGGGTCACAAACTTTTGTCGAGTGTAATTGTACTAAGTTTTGTTTTTCACTTGTGTAAGTGACGTTTTATTACAATGGCTGAAGGTCTGAATGATCATTCTTAATTCCATGCATTCCAATTGAATAGGATGAGGCTTGGTTATGTATAAAATGTGTTAAGTCTACCTCTTCAGATATAATAATAATGATAATCATGTTAATGATTTTAATTGAATATCCAGTTGCTGTTTACATTCTAAGTGCAGAAAGATTTTTGCTCACAAAAACATTCGCATTTCCACCACTTATGGTCGTCTGTGTTTTGTTTCAATCTTAGTGCAGTAGTCTTTTCTGAAATTTGTGCTTTTGATGATGCGGAGTTGTCAGTAAGGCATTTGAGAAGGTCTTAACCTGCACACTAACCTTACTAATAAACCCTCACATCTTTGTAAAATCTGACTTCATGTAAACGCTTTTACATGAAGAGATTTTACATTGATAGCCTGAGCAAAATCTGCAATGAAATATTTTACATGTGAAAATATTTCATTATTTTTTGCACAGTCTGCTCTACTTGAGAGATGCCATCATCTCTCAAGATAGAGATCACATTACTAACATTCAGATTTTCTCAAGTGTTATACTTGACAAATAAATCCACTTCATCATATATGCACCTTTTCTCCGGATCAACCAAATTCAAATTGAAACTTACATGGACGGTCAAACAGTGATGTGAGATGCGAAATAATTCGAAGCAAGCTTGCTTTATTCTCAACTTGTATCATATAGGTAGTGGCGATTTCAGGGCAAAATGAACATTTAGAAATTTTATAGTTTTAGGTATTTTATCCAGAGTTATGTCTTAGTTTAGTTTAAATCATTGAGATACCCGAGTTATAGTTATATTACTTGAATCCGTTTATGGTCCGTTTATGTTATCGTTAGAAATTTCAGGACTGAGCAACTTTATTTATGGCTTTGCCCCCCGGGATAAAGTTTAAACTAGTTTCGTGTTAAGTCTCTAGTAAATGTCTCGGGTTGGCTTCAGGGCAACTTTCTGTATGAAATACTTAGGTAAATATGTTTATCTTGTATAGTTTATATAGAGAATAGTTTGTAGTCACGAAAGTTAATTCAGTCGTGCCATGCTGTCTAAAACGGGACGATATTCTTGAGCTTGTAAGGCGCTGTAAAAACTGTTATCCGGGCGTGGGCACTTTCTCGGCATTCCCCAAGAAGGGTTTAGACGGGTTTTTCCCCACGGGCTGAGAGCATCTGGTACCAACCTCTGACCATCAAAATTTGGCTTCAGTGCCTCTTTCTGTATGAATTACTTTGGTAAATTTGTTTATCTTGTACATTGCTAGGCTATTTGCGTTTCGTTGTGAGATGATAAAGACGGGAATGGAAAGTATAAACTTTCAGTAAAACTACCGTTTTTTAATCCATTGCATTTACATATAGTAATTCATTAATGATAACTTGCAAATCCTATTGGAATTGAATGTAACTGTTCATCATTGAACTTGATTGTTGAATAAAAATTATATTCTAAACTTGATTTACTCTTTTATAATTACTTTCATGCCGATTTCTTCCATAAAACCAGACGATGTTAAGTAAATAAATACATTTTTGTTGCGCAACGTTTCAATTTGGGAATAACTCTTGCCACAATACCAAGACTTTTATGAGTTGGAATAGAGCACCTAGAATTAACAGTTCCGTGCCGTCATTTTGGTCTAAATATTTTTTGGTATGGAGTTACTCACAGGAGTAGTCAAACTAACTAAAACGCAGGTTGNCTTGTAAACACGATAAGTGGAGGGCAGTTTTACTTTTTGTCTTAATATTTACAGAGCTGATGAATATTCATAAAACGCAGGTCAAGTTCGAAAATCAGCATGATCGGGCCATTATTGTAGAAGTTATGCTGTTTTTTCACTTTTCAGCATATATGCAACCCTGTAAACACATTTTAAGGAAAACCATTAGACCTTTTGTCATGAAACTCACAGAAGTAATCAATCTTATTAAAACGCAGGTCAAGTTCGAAAATCGGCATGATCGGGCCACTTTTTTAGTAGTTATGCTTTTTTTTCATTTTTCAGCATATATGCAACATTGTAAACACAATATAAGAAAAACAGATAGGCCAATTGTCATTAAACTCACAGGAGTGGTCATTCCTGCTAAAATGCAGGTTGAGTTAAAAAATCAGCATAATTGGACCATTAAAGAAATGCCATTTTTTCACATTTCCTCAGATTTAATTCTTAGGCATGTTAACAGTTTCATTATTTAATTAATAAGATACGTAAAAGTGTTTGTTTGGCATTTCCTGCATCTTTAAAACATTATTAGTTGATTATGTAAAAATGATGGTAAACTTGTTATCGTGTATTGTGTAATAAACTTTCAAAAATGGAAATAAACTCATATCATTGCAGTTTGTCAGATTCAATCATTTAAATTTGATGTTGAATTTGCAGTTTAACATAATGTACTTTTGCATCAGAATTGACAGTAGCCTATTTTGTGCATAGTTATTTCCTGTTTTTTGTCTGTACATTTGACAGCTTTGCTGCCTTGTTTAAGAGTTTGCAGAGCATTCGCAAGAATAGTTCTTGAAGGTTTGCAGCAAATTTGCAAGAATTTCTAGTGAATATGCAGAAAATTCGCAAGAACAGTTCTGGAGAGTTTGCAGCAAATTAGCAAGAACAGTTCTGGAGAGTTTGCAGCAAATTCGCATGAATGGTTCTTGAGAGTTTGCAGCAAATTTGCAAGAAACCTGTGACAGATCCCCTTTTGTCATGCTGATTAAGTTTGTGGGGAGTTTGCAGCAAATTTGCAAGAGACTTAATTTGCATGGTAAATTTCCTCTTGCAAATTTGCTGCAAATTTGAAGCAACTGTTTGCAAGAAGCCCTTAATTTTGCTAAGGGTTGTTGCATCAAAATAGCAGAAAATACAATTTTTGGTGCTGCTGCCATGATGACCATTATGGGAAAACCGTGTTATGACTGTCAAACCTTTAAAAAAGAAACACGGGACTAAAATGCAGAATGAGTTGGAAAAGCAGTCTAATTGGCTTCTTTTTCTGGAAGTTATACATTTGAGTGAAATTTTCATTATCTTTTTGGCATATTCATTGTGGGACTCGGAGCTCCCATGGACATGAAGCCGAATGGTAATCAAATTTTCTACATGTCCATGCTATTTATTGTCAATAATCAAAAATTAGTGATAATTATTCTGTAATTCTGTAATGTTACATCAAAATTGACAACAATATTATTGCATTGCTACTGCAAACATTATGAAAAGAAAACTGTGTTAATTATTATTATTTTTATCTGACAAGTATGATTTTTTGGATTGGCATGCAGTTCAAATTAGAAAGCCAGGTCAATTGGATTATCATTTTTTATTGAATTTATGCAATTTTAAGTGAAATTTTAATTTTTCTCATTCTGGCACTTTTTAAGTATAAACTTGAACTCTGATGGGCCTGAAGCCTTATGCTTTTACTTTCGTTGGTGTAACCTGTTGTGCATAATTAAAATTGAACTTACACAATTGGGCCAAAGAGGACAATGATTAGTTTTTAGTGGTGGTCTGGCTCAATAATCATTCAATAATCAATAATAATCAAGAATTGCTGCCTTGGCAGAGGTCTGCACTCTTGGTGGTTTTCTAGTTTTGTTATGTTTTCCTTTACAATTTTTTCTCAAACACTTGCATTTGTGACTTTTAACTCTCATCTGCTCAAGGCTCTGCACATTTTCTGTATTTCCACATAAGCAATTGTATTGTTTATTTATGTCTTTAAGTATTATAAAATATTACTTTATGCACTGTCATCATTTTTCAAATATTGAGACTTTCATCATGTGACTTTTGTCTCTCATGGTCCTGAAACTGTAATCTTATTGAAGGGGTGGATTGAGACCATCTTCTGGGTCTTCTGGAAGACAGGTTATTAAGTTTATATTGACTGGTATCTATTTTTTTCTGTTGGAAGACCATCAAAATGGAGGATGGATCAACATTGATACTTTGGAATACTGTCAGAAAATATCTCAGGGTCCGCTCCTGTTATTGACCATGTTACCTGTTGTGCATGATTAAAATTCAGTGTTGACTGACAGTACTATTATAAGCATTATTTATTATTGCATCAAAATTGACAAAATGACCTTTTTTTGCACCTTTATTTTCTGTTTTTTGTCTGTACATTTGACTTGTTCTGAAAATGGTGTATTCTTTGTGTTCAGATGCCGTGCATTTCTTCGTTTTGCTAATGGTAGCACTCTAAGCACAGCATTCCACCACCCCCACCTTACAAAATTATTGTATCCTGAAACAGAAATGAAGCAAAACTTGTCACTGCATTCAGTTATCCCGTGTTGTAACAAAAAAGTTTAATTTAAGTTATTGCCTTGGTGCCAACACAACTGTGAAACTCTTCAGATGAGGACTGTCCATTCTTGCAGCTCAGCTTTACAAACTTATCGCAACGTAACTTGTGGCAAGCATAGTTTGTGTATAGACCAGCACCTAAGACAACACGTAAAGTAGGTCCATATTGTAAATATCGTCACTTAAATTGAAAACCTCGTTAAAGATCACTTCGGACCCCAAACCCTGGGCCTGTTGGCGTGCCTTTTAATGACGTTAGACCTCCTTTTGGTTCACAAGCAAATCTGTGGTTCTGTCCACTCCTGAAATATTGAAAACAATTCACTATGATCAAAATTCAGAGAGTTTTTTTTTAAATATAATTATTTAAATATCACCTATAAAGAGTGGGGATTCTGTCATAGAAGCAATTTTTGATTTTATACCTCAAACCCAGTGCTGAATATGTCAATTATCTTTTAGTCTGGACCCATTGCCAAAAATGTAAAAAAAAATTTAAATGACTGAATTATTTGGTTAAATCTTAAAATGTAGTATTGATGTTTACAATTGATATACTTGCCTTGGGCCTGCTTTAGGTTTTTTCCCTGCTATTAAATCATCTAAAATACTATTCATATCATCAACAGTAAGGTCCTCCTAAAAATAAGATACATATTCAAGCATATATATCATCATTCCAGAAAGGTTCATGAATAACACTAAGGAAATGGCATACTTTAGTCTTCTTCAATGTTAAACACACTGATGAATCAGTAATTATTCACATGCTTTTTATTCCTTTTATTTTAATGTATTATCCTCTCCTCCCTTCAGATTTATCAGAATTACAAACAAAATTCCTTCTAAGATGAGATATCATTGTTGTCCAAAACTCTCTGTCTTCTTTCCGATATTGAAAATAAGGATGAAAAATAATTTACTAAATCTATAAAACAAATGAGTAATTATCATACTTATCACTACAGTAACTTACATAATAGTCATCATTGATTTGAACCATAGGAGCATTTACACAGGCACCTAAACACTCCACTTCTGCTAGTGTGAACATATTGTCCTTTGTGGTCTCACCAACTTCTATACCTAAAACACAACACAGAATATTAATATATCACTTAACAAGACTTCTCGAGTCTAATTCAAAACTAATAATAAAAAACGCACTTCTGATTAAATCAGGATTATCATTTCATTCATAATCATGATTCATTTATCTTATTAAACATTCCCTTCAGAGCTTTCATATGTGTTCAAGTAGTTTTGGGCAAGATGTTTTAAATGAAAGTGACCCCATCTTTTACCTAGTTTAGTCTTAATAGCCTCTAATATGACATCACTTCCTACTCCACCCAACATACAGGGATATTGTCTTACCTAGTTTAGTCTTAATAGCCTCTAATATGACATCACTTCCTACTCCACCCAACATACAGGGATATTGTCTTACCTAGTTTAGTCTTAATAGCCTCTAATATGACATCACTTCCTACTCCACCCAACATACAGGGATATTGTCTTACCTAGTTTAGTCTTAATAGCCTCTAATATGACATCACTTCCTACTCCACCCAACATACAGGGATATTGTCTTACCTAGTTTAGTCTTAATAGCCTCTAATATGACATCACTTCCTACTCCACCCAACATACAGGGATATTGTCTTACCTAGTTTAGTCTTAATAGCCTCTAATATGACATCACTTCCTACTCCACCCAACATACAGGGATATTGTCTTACCTAGTTTAGTCTTAATAGCCTCTAATATGACATCACTTCCTACTCCACCCAACATACAGGGATATTGTCTTACCTAGTTTAGTCTTAATAGCCTCTAATATGACATCACTTCCTACTCCACCCAACATACAGGGAGTTGTGGTACAGATCTGAATAAAATGCTTTCCTACAGGTTCCCTGAAATATAAAACACAATTTTTAAGTCATTACACTTGCTTGGTAATAAAATACAACCTTTAATTTGAAAGAAGTATCACAAAATAGCATTGAATTTCATCATATAAGTTTGTTTTTAAAATTCTGTGTATGAAAAGTGAAATGCATAATTTGGAATTTTACCATGAAATCAAGGTAATAGAATCTCTACCCTGTCCAAATAATAAGCAGTCATTTCAGGTTACAACTTTGTTTTGTGGAGTCTAAGTACTAACATCCTGACAACATTTTCAGAAATATCACTGACTAGTAAGTGTATGCAATCAATGTCACTGTACCTGTTGAACATTGTGTAAAAGGTGGCTACTTCATAAACCCTCATCCTGGGCATGCTTAACATGTCTGCCACATAGTGCATCACTGAGATTGGACACCAGCCTGGAGAGAATAAACTTTTACATTAAAATATATATTCAAAATATGACAGGTCATACCCGTTTCCCTTTAAACATACAACAAATTTAAAATTTAAGACTTCTCTCCTACTCCACACTTGTAAATTTTAGGGATACTTTCTAGTAAGTGCATGCCAAAAGGCTTGGGGATACAAGCATCTATAAAAGAAACACAATGATCTCATTCCCCCCCCCCCCCCCCCCCTCAAAGTTTCTACTTACCATGCTGCCTCTGGGCCAGATCTAACAGTGGGATACAGGCAGCTGCTTGGTGTCCTTCTGGGAAGTCTTTGATAATACTCTGGGCTATCTGCAAGATATTTATTTGAGGTTATTATCATCTAATATTTCTTAGACATTCTTTAACATTCTTTTGAGATGTACATCTTTACAAGTAATATGCATATATTACAAAAGAATACAATATTTCTGTAGGGCAATCGTCAATATTAGTTGTACTGTAAAAGAAGATTTAAGTTACAACAAAAGCTTCAGTTTTTCCTCATCAAGGTATAGAGTAGGAGTTACCAACTACCTTCATATTCTCTGGGGTAAACTCAAATGGAACATCCGGGTTGTTTTCCGGGGTATCTCGATGCTACAAAAAATTTGCAAAAAATTTAATTCACAGAACAAATCTTCAAATCCAAAAAGTCATTTTACTCACAACTATCCAAAATCAGACATATTTCCTATGTCTATGACTAGGAGTTCGGCCCTAGGAGTTAGTATGCAAATATACATGAGATAAAAATAAGAGAATTCTACTTACCACAAAGAGTTTGTCACTAAGAACTGGTGCAGTTTTGTGAATGGATCTCACCTGACGCACCTGAAATTTAACAAACAAATACTTATCAGAATATCATTTTTTAACATTTCAAAGTAATGTGTGGGCAGTTCTCTACCTGTAGGACTGGCAGAACTTCCTCCGTGCCGAAGTGGATAGTCGTCAGCTACACACCGCGGTAAACATCCTCTTGAGCACGATAATACATAAAGCAATGCAAGGATAAATTTTCTGGGAGAATAAAAATACTCACCACCGCAGAAGACAAAGATCGCACAGCAGATGCTAACATTGTCGGGTATTTGTTGTTAAACTTACAAAACGTCTACCTTTACATAACATCCGGGCACTAGAAGCGTCGGCTTTCAGATAGTACCGCAGTTACTAATATTTTTGTGAAATTATTATGTGAAATATTAAATCTGGTTATGTTCAAAACACTTAAAATTATATTAATTTATTATTCTGTAATTTGGATATGATTTTACAGCAGCCTTTGTAAAATTCTTTAGATTAGTTGCTACGGTGAGAATATGTAAACAACATGGCGGCCTAGAAGCAGGTGCTTGAAAAACACAAGGAACTTTTCACATATTTTGGACTAAAATACCCAAAATGTAAAAAATGACAATGATCCCACACAAAGGATCAAGCAAGATCATTGTGGTTTACTACTGGTAAGCTTCTCAGTTTTTGGCATTTTGATAATACTTAATGCTGGTTCATTGATTTGACCTTCTCAACTGCGGTAACTTGTTACTGAACACGTACACTGTATTTACATTCTGTCATTGACATTGATGGCTTCATAAGTCCTGTGCATATGTCATTAAAGAATGGTTTTTCAGTCTTTTCTATAAGATGCATTTATTATTCTGCCTGTAGGCATCTGCCTGTAGGCATAACTGATCACAGCAATTTATGTACTGTAGGAGATTTTTGACAGAAACACCTTAGAACGTACACTGTATATTATAAGGTCCAACACCAAATTAATTTTAGTTCATTATTTTTCCAGTTTTATGATTATACAGTGTTAAGATTACTTTCATTTTAGAAACAAAACAACAAGACAGCACCAAAAGAAGACAACAATATGGCAAATAAGAATAAAAAAGTGAACTTTTTCGCCAAACATTCAAACTTTAACCTGAATGTGAGGCTTGAAACTGGAGAAGTGTTTCCTCTGAAGAACATCACACCAGACATGAAGATCAGTGAACTGAAGAGTTATATTGAGTTTGCTGCAGGAATTCCATATCACATGCAAAGGCTGAATTATCTGGATGAAGGTAAAGTCCCTGTGCTGTTTTTTTTTTTTTCTGTGTCCCATGTCCCCCCTCCCATCCCTAGAAAAAAAATGGATGGAGGATTTATAAATTTTCTACTGTGTTATTTTAAAATTTTCACAATTTAATAAATTACTCAAATTTTAAGTCATTTTTGTACAATTTTACTGTTTTCTTCTATCTTCATTAAAAGCCAAGCTTTTACATATAGGTATACATGCCTGTGCTCATATTGTTTAGGGAAACATAAAAATGTAGAATTCATCTGTTGTGACAAAGTTTTGTATGACATTGTAGGTGACCTGCAAGATGATACAGATATCAGATATAATGACATAGTTCCTGGAGGTACACTGGCTCTCAAAGTGTGGCACATGTGGAAAAACTTGGTGGAGGCAGCAGCTTCTAATGATGTTGAAGCCGTGAGTATTTCTGTGTTAAATTTAGTTGTGTTTTTTTTTCATTATTTTTATTCCAGGGTTTTAAAATGTTAAATACTAGTAATGATTTATCGCAATGTTTGAATTTAAATCCCTGTAAAAACCAGAGAAATCTCATTGCTCCAGAGAGATTTCAATCTCTTGTTTAATTATAATAGATCTGGTTGTCAGCCTTATGAACAAATGGATTAGCACTCTACCAGTGAATAAATGTATTGTATTGTATTGTATTGTATTATATTGTATTGCATTTTATGGTATGGCATGATATTGTATCATATTGTCTTATGTTTCCTATGTAGGTGATGAAGATGGGTGTGAGTAACAAAATAGACTTTAAGACCCCCAACTCAGAATACATGGGCAGTAAAAACAAGGCGGTGTGGATCGCAGAGAGAGCATTTGTTGCCCTCTACATCGCCTCACACAGAGGTCACTTGAAGATGGTTCAGAAACTCATTCAGGCAGGTAAAGAAAGGCTACCCTTGTTACAACTAAAGCTGCTTTTGCACCTAATCCAATAATTTGAAACTATGAGAGAAAGTTAAAAATTTGATCATGTCTAGATCATTTGTAGGACCTGTGGTATTCCTCAGTTTATCTACTGACCATATCACACACAGGCTTGATGCAAAGTACCAGATATTGCATTTACTCCCAGAGTTAGGAGCAGTCTGAAGGAGTTAAGATAAAACTAAGCTGGACTCAGATTAATCTGCATAAAGTACATTGTATCTTACATATTTCACTGGCATGCAAACTGTTTTAATTTAATGCTAATTAAGAAACTCTGTGAATTAATTGGTCTAAATGACTTTAAAAGAATTTTATTGTGATCGCAAGACATTTGTATTTCTTGATGTTTGGGTTATTTTATGACATTTAAAACTCTAAATTCTGATGAAATATTGCTGTAGCTTGTATTATTTGTATTTTAGGTGCCAATGTCAATGCTCAAACTCCAAAAGGCCGATCAGCATTACATGTGGCAGCAGCTCAAGGACATGGGAAAATTGTTGATTTGTTGTTAGAAAAAGGTAATATTAAAATTAATGTTGTGAGTCAGTTTTGAAAAAGGTTACAAAATAGTGAAAAAACATTTGATACAGATTTTGTAAGCTTTGGACCACATTAAACTGAAGTTAAACAGGCCCTTACCTGGCAATTTCAAAGGGAGGAGGGGTCTTTTTTTCTGAAAAAGTGGACCTTTTATCATGAAACTTACCTGTACCTAGATCAATTTTTACCCAGAGCATCCATCATACCCCATGAACCCCCCTATATAGGCTATGGGCCTGTCAGTTAATTCTTACCCCTCAAACACTGAGTGATTATATATAAAAAAAGGGATTTAATTTTCTTTAAATTGAATGTGTATTTTCATAGTGCCCATGTACAGAGTGTATCAGATAGAAGTATATGTACCAGTATATGCTACTACAAAGAATTAAAATAAATCTATAATTTACTACATTTCTCTCATCTCTTTCTCATCTTTAAAGGTTCTAATATCAATGCAGCAGATCAGTTTGGTGATTCTGCCCTACAGATAGCCACCAAGTTTGGACACAAAGGATGTGAGCGCCACCTATTTTTGTTCCGCTGGCAGGAACGCGCAAAAAAGACAAAACCCAGCTTCCAGGACATTCCTTTAATGGCGCATCAGTTCTTCGATTCCAAGTTTCCAGTCTGGTTGCATGGCAACCATGGGCAGGTTTATTTTCAAAAGATACTTCCTCCTGGTGAATTCGAAGGAACAGCTTTTCATGCTCCTCGAAATAAAGAGCGCCCAAGTTCAGCCCCAAAAGAAAGAGAAAAGGGTTCCAGGGAGTCAAATAAATCAAAAGAAGAAGATATACAGGTACGTGTCAAAACTGTGACCATTGATTCAGAATGGGATTAAGTGAGAAATTTATAACATTATTGAGCTGTTTAATTTGAATTAAAATAATTAAGACTTAAGTTACGTAGGAGTGTTTTCTTTACATGAAAGGCCATGAACAATAGGATTTGCAAAAATACTATTACATATACATGTAACCAGTATTTGAAATTGTGATATAATACTAATTATAATGTATTTAACCATTCATGGTTTCCATAGCTAAATATTGTTGATGGTATTTGAAAACAACGTTATCAGAATTTTTTTCATATTGTGAGTATATATCTGATACTTTGCTTTCATTTATTGTTACAACATAATAGGAGTTACCAGTATGTTTTGGAGAATAAATGGACAGTGCTAGGTGTTTGTCCTCCATAATATTTATATATTTTGTGATCTTTCAGGTTGATCTTGGAACAGAGACACTGAAAAACGTGATGGAGATAGAGGCAGAGGCCAACAGACACAAAGATTACCTCAAATCTCTGGCTAATAAAAGTAAATTAATAAGTTCACTACCTTAACATGGTTTAATACTGTTAAAAGTCAAATGACATTGAGGGAGGGAGAGCATTATTATTATTATTATTATTATTATTATTATTATTATTATTATTATTATTTTCACTTATTGTTGCACTGTTTTCCTTTTATTATCCATTTCACATATTATTCTGGGCCAATAAATTAAACAATTCACCAATGCCTCTATATCAGTAGTCAAATATTGAATCATAAATTCTCAGATGTGTAAACTAACTACTGTGTATAAACATTATGTACACGGAAAACACTGTTTGACTAACTTTCAGAGGTAAAGATAGGAGGCAGAGGTTCTCCGAAGATGCCAGCTATTGAAGAACGCAGCATGTCAGGTAGTGCAGCTACTTCCCGAAATCCAAAATCTGTCAAATCTGGTGCAAGTGACAGAGAGCACACAGAATTGTATGGGAGCCCCGTGGATGAGAAAGGGAATCCCCGCCCCTCTAGAGGCAGTGGGACCGGCACAAGGAGTTCCCACGGGAGTCCTTCTAAATCCGTGAGTGGGGTGCCCAAAACTCCGATGAGTGGCAAGTCCAGTGGAAGGTCTAGGAGTTATGGGTTTAGCAAAGGCTCAGAGTGAGTGAAATTCTGTAGTCATATCAGACCTACATGTAATGATTTATTATTTATTCAGTTTTGTAAAATTGCAGTACATCTCAAGCACTTCAGCAGTTTGCAATTTGACATGCAATAGTGTAGAAATCACCAAATATGTGAATAACAAATGATTTTTTACATGGCAGATTTATATGAAAAGCTTTTATAAATGACAGTTTATGTATATTCAAAATACTTTTATATATCGTATTCAATATTTAAAGATAATAATTTGATAACTGCTTTTTTTCTTGTAGCATTGATGACAAATCCAAAGCTAGTCCAAAGACTTTTGATGATTGGTTAAAAGTGAAGAAAGATCAAGAAGCAAGGCAAATAGAAGATCAAAAGTTGTTAGAGGAAGAAAAACGGAAAGAAAAGGAATTGGAGTAAGTGGTATAGGGGTGCTTACCCAGAGATTTAGATCGATCTAAAGATTAAGACCTAACTCCCTGGGGGTTCGCACTAAATTGCAGTCAGTCGAGCGGGCACCATAGTTAATTACCCCCTTACAGCTTTTAGTAGGCGGGACAGACGCTTAAGCCGGCCAAGCTGACAGTAATCTAGTGAGACTCCCCACAGGGATAGATCGATCTAAAAATCTATGGAAATGGGGTGTAAGATTTAACCAAACTGATATCTCTTGATCTGATGCAAGCAATATCAGATTCAGTCATAATGTTTCATATTTCATATACAAATCTTTATTTTATTTATTCCTGCCATCAAAAGAACCTTTGCACGTTACGTGTCGTGATATTTTCCATCTTTGCTGATCATGAGTCATCTTTTCATTTTATTCACAGAGCGAGGGAAAAGCTTCTACGGGAAGCATCATATGACCAGTGGCTGCAGGAAAAAGAGAAATATGTCAAAAAAGAAGCTGTGAAGAAGAGACACAACCCAGACAGGTTACAGGAGAAAGAGAAACAAGTAGCTGAGGTAAGAATTATTTTGTCACCCTTGTCAAGATGGAGTTTGCTTTTGGCTAACTAAATAAAATGTCAAATTCATTTTTTTTTTTTTTGCTTCAAGATATGGCTACAGAATTTGTCAATGTTTGCATAAAATTAACTTAAATTCTGTAAGCTAGCTGATATATACATGTACTTTACTTGTGTCTAAAATCTGTTCGATTCCTACTTAATACGTTAATTAAATCCTAAAATTCTATCTGGACAATTCTTACTGTAGAAAAATTTTCAAGAAGTTGTCAGTCATGTATGTGAATATCTTGTGAAATATCCATCTGTGGCCCCAGTAGAGAGTAGGGGAAACCCCACCCAATCTTGTCGCTCATGACAGATATCATTGATATTGTCAGGGGCAGATCCGGATATATTTTTTTCTGACAGTCTTCCAAATTATTTTTGTCTGTCCATCTTCCAAAAGAAAAAATCAGTTGCCCTTCAATGTAACTTGAAAATTCTGACCATCTTTTGGAAAACCCAGAAGACAGCCTATGTCTGCCCCTGATTGTTGATTTTTATGTACATGTATAACATATTGACTCTGTCCTGTGAGCTTTTGTATTAACAACATGCTTACGTATACTAACATGCCTCAATTTTTACAGTTTGTGTATTTTGTTGATGAGTGGGAGTAAGCAGGTAAACAGCATGGCCATAAAATATGAATGTTTTTCTGCCAGTTGGGGTTCATTCATGATATTCCTTAGCACGCACATCCTTTAGTTCAATGCATGTGCAAATGCACTTCTATTTTTTGTGTAAGGTGGCTTTTAAAAAGTTTTTTTCTGTTTACTTACTGATTAGTTTGGTTCAGGTTACAAGTTAATTTTCTTCTTCTTTTTTTTTTTTTTTTCTCAGTAAGGAAAACAACAAGAATCTTGAAATGATATACATGTGCACTGTATTATTTGATATAATTGATTCCTAAACTTTCTGATTGAGTCATAAAATAATGTGGGGTGTGACTCTAATGCATGTTCTGTTTAGGGATGCTTCTTTTGAATTTTGCACTCTTTTCATCTTAAACCATTTTATTACAGTCTGTTTTTACTTAAGTTATGTATATAAACTTATGTTTTATGCTAATGTCAAGCAAATGGGAAAGTCTCTTCACTTTTACGCATAATTTTGATAAGTGAACCAGTGACTATTTTTATAACCTTTAAGAAACTATAAAACACCTAAAAGTATATTAACTTTTTAACAAGTAAATGAATTTATTTTAAATAAACTCTACCATATAACAACTGTGGGTAAATGTCAGAAATGTTCCTTTCTTTTTTGACAAGAACCATATACCGTATACTTTCACAGTCATCCTATAAGCCTATATATTGCCAAATTCGCTAATCTTTGATTTTTATCCCATTTTAGATTAAAGAGAAGTACAAGCCCAAGGAGCGCCAGAGAACCCCATACGATGAATGGCTCATGAAGAAAGAAATGGAGTTACTGGAGAAGATTAAGATGGGACAACCAGTGATATCATGACAGGACAATAGATGGAGTTACTGGAGAAGATTAAGATGGAACAACCAGTGATATCATGACAGGACAATAGATGGAGTTACTGGAGAAGATTAAGATGGGACAACCAGTGATATCATGACAGGACAATAGATGGAGTTACTGGAGAAGATAAAGATGGGACAACCAGTGATATCATGACGGGACAATAGATGTGAAGAGGAAAAATTCCAGTTGGAAATCTTTCCACTCCATGCCATACGCATCATTATAATGCATCACGCCAAGATTCTTGATCATGTGATAACAAAAATGGAAAGTACAATCCTACCCTGTGGTATTATATTGGAGCAGTGCACAAAAATATAACATAGAATTTGTATAGAACCTGTCTTCTGCAACTTCTGATACCCTCCCCTGTACTGCCAGAGAAACTCATATCCATTTCCCTTTTGTGTTTTACTCTTTAGCTAGCTGAAGAAATCTTATAAGTATTTGTCATATGTTTCTGTGGGGGGGGTTGTTGATTTAGAAAATCTCAACTTTAAGGGTGTATTCCCAGAGATTAGATCGATCCGGAGATTAAGACTTAGATCGACCTAACTCCCTGGGGGTTCACGCTAAATTGCAGTCAGCCGAGGGGGTCATAAACCATAGTTTATGACCCCCTTACAGCTTTCAGTAGGCGGGACAGACGCTTAAGCCGGCTAAGCTGACAGTAATCAAGTGAGACTCCCCACAGGGATAAATCGATCTAAAATCTATGGAAATGGGGTCTTAGTTAGAAATACACTAAGCGGAATTATTATGTGGTACATTGCATTGGGATGAATCAAACGTCTGTGTCAGAATGATTATTTTTGATGAAAGCACATGGATTATTGCAATTACGGGGGCATTTACCTTACATGTCATTGTTCCATAGTAGTTTTAACTCGTATTTATTCAAATACAATACAGTTTAAGGTTGTGAAAAGTGATGTAGGTGTTACATCTGTGGTATCTTTTAAAGCTTTCATTTGTGTCTTAAGGGAAAGCAAAAAAATCTTCAGTGGTGCCTTCTTGTAGTAAGAGATATCATGAAATCTGTATTATTTTAGTTTTGATTTGGAATACCTATTTAATAAAGTGGTGATAAATTATTGAAGTATTCAAATCAGAAAGTGGTAAATTTCAAGGAGATAGAATTATAAAACAAATCATGGTAAATTAAAGTGATACATATTTTTCAGATTAAAACTGAAAAACAATCATGAATTCAATTTTATTTCAATCAGCATCAGTTGATTTTTAGTAAAAATGGTTGTGAAATGAAGAATTATATGTAATTAAAAAAAAACTACTTGAATTTCTGTAAACTTTTTCTCAGAGTATATGTATTCTGTTTTAGCCAACACTTGTTAGTGATATCACCTGTGATGTTTTATCATTACCTTAACATTAAAATGGAAATGATTATAATATGTTAAATTCTACAAGTATTTGTTTTAAATGGCTTTTTGTACATTAGTATATTGCTGGAACAATAAAATGTGTTTATTTTAATATAAAATAAAATTTAATATAAAACAATTATATAACAGTAAATGATACTTTGTTTTTTATACCTCTCCTCCTCTCACTCCTCTCTCTCTCTCTCTCTCTCTCTCATGCATAAAATTTAATTTTTTTTAAATTTAATTTTAATTTATTATTTTTAAGTTCTTTTGATTGATTACATAGCTGTGTATTCCCTTTATCCCTGCTTACTAAAAACAGCCTTTCATTTTCCTATAATCATTACGACAAAATTGTAGAATTAGCCTCAGAATTAAAATTTTAACTTCCTTAATTGTCTATTTCAACATTTTAATGCTACACTGCATGTACATGTACAGTACTAAATATCATAAAAGTGATTTTAATCAAAAGTCTGTATTGGATTTACCTGCCAAAATGAATTTTCCTTGTGGGGGGAAAAAGCATTTGAGTTATTGTCAACCCCTTCCTTGCACGTGGATTCAATTATTCATTTCATTTCTAATTTAATGATTTAATATTGTAAATAATATGTATGCCTTGTAGTATGATTTACAGTAGATTTTTTTGTTTTCCGCAAGACGGCAGCACCGTCTACCCAACTATTGATTACATAGCGACCAATCAGATCGCGAGAAACGCGCGACTGCGGAAACAACGAGCAGGTTGTTGCCAAGTCAAACGGGTTTGCAGAAGAACATTAATATCCGGAACTTGTCAAAGGCTCGAAAGGTGAGTAAATAGTATAATTGCCCCGAAACTTAGCAAAGGAAATACACAAAGTAGCCATTTTAGAGGGCAACAACACAGACGCCATTGGGGACAAATACAAAAAGGATGTTTCTTACTTTGTTGGCCTGAAGGGTGTTTGCACGTTGGAGCTGTGATCAAGTTTTGATTGAAGAGTCCTAAATAAAAAAAGGGGGTCAGAATTTCGTCCCGTAAGTAGGCCTTGGTACTTTAAGCTGTACATTTATAAACAGGGATGATTACTGTTTAAAGAATGAAGTCCTTGAGTCGATAAGGGGCACATAAAGTGACGAATACATCTCCAGAGAAAACACTGAAGTGAAGAGTTCTTGACGATATATTATGGCTTTATGGTCTTTGAGTCAAGTGGCTTGGCCTGCAGTATAACATGGCAATACAGTAAGATGGCTTTGAATTGTTTCAATATTATTTTTAACCTGATGTCATAAAAAAGATGCAGAAGGGGGAAGGTTTCTGTTCTACTGCAGAAGTCCATAATTCATTCTCTGCTATTTGTGCTCGAGATATTATTTATTGAATTTTACTCAGTGAAGAGTTCTAATGCAGTTTCGCATTGATAGAAGTGTAACAGCTGATCACTGTTTATCATAAAATTTAGGTTTTATAATTGGTGTTCTTGAATTTGTGATAACATAGTGGTACAGTACCTAGTATATATATACTGATATAATGTCAATATGAACAAGGATGAAAAGCAGCACATTTTGATTTTTTTTATTGAAACAGGCCCATGGCCAGCAGTTTCAAAGTGGTAACTAAAATGCACCTTTTCATATAAACTTTCATTAATAGTATTTAGATCAATTTTGAAACCTGACTTTTTCCCAACAAAAATGTCAGTTTGTTTGACCCCCCCCCCCCCCCCAAAGGCCAAAAAAAAATGTTACTGGATAGTAAAAAACAATGGGTGGAATAAGAATAATTAAAGGTTTGCGCTTGCCAAATACGCAGTCGCACAAATATCCAGTTTCTCACTAAATAAATTATCATAAAATTGTAGATTCTAAATTATAACATTGTGTTTTTGAACTTTACATAATTAATTTGGTATCCCTTTTGAAAATAATTTTGAATAGAATGCCATTTCATTTGGCAGCTGTCAGAAGAATACAGATCTAATAAGTACTCAGTAGCAGTTTTGGCAACTTTGATGAGACACTAACAAAAAACCCATTTTAAAAGGTAGTTTTCTATTTGCAAATCTGTGCTCAATACATGTATTTAATATAGACTCTAATAATAGACACCAAATATTTCCAGACTACTTACATTGTCAGTGTCTCAAAGTTGATGAGTCCAATTTAGTAAATTACTGAATGTGAAAAGTTCCTAAGAACACATGCATATGTAACAAATAAACTCCTGTTAGTAATTTAAATCATTGTTTTTCTTTTTATCAAGATGTGGGTATTACCTCCAATATTTCTGTGACTGTCAGTCACCATCATCAGGGAGTAAATGACTAGGGTCATTTCACCTGGATTGAAAATCCAGGTCAATTGCCCCTAATCACTTTATTTTTTGAAATTTTATAAGCTCGTGATAAAAAGAAAAACAATAATTTAAATTGATACATACAGAGCTAATGAAACTCTTCTCTCCTGTTACTATGTCTAAGCCAGCAGAGTAAATGTAGCTCTTCCCAGAGTTGAGGACAAAGCTCCAACTGCTTTTAATACAACTACATAAATAGGTGTAAAATGATCTATCACAAATTATTATATTATATTATATTATATTATATTATATTATATTATATTATATTATATTATATTATATTATATTATATTATATTATTTCATTTCATTCTATTTTTTTTCCTTTTCCTTTTTTCCTTTTTATTTTTACATATATATATATATATATATATTTTTTTTTTTTTCTTTTTTTTTAGTCTAGCGATGTAATCTAAGCACCACCATGCAGTCAGGGTTTAAGTCAGTGTCCGAGTTGACTGATCGTGGTGTTATAGTATTATATATTGCTCTGTACTACCTCCATGTGTTATGTGTACTGGCTGTCAGGGCACTGATATAAATAACAGTCACACAGTTATTGCAGCCTTATAACAAATACAAGCTGTAATTTATTAGGGGTTTGGATTAGTTTTGCATCCCCTGAATTCCTCCCTGGGTATAATGTTGCCTATTATTGCGACTTGAAATATTTGTGTTTTTCTCTGGTAGTTAAAGAGAAAATGGCAGACTGTCGTGGTAAAGGGTTTAAAGTTTTGTAAGTCATTCATCTCAAATGCTACATATCTTGGTATTATTGCTAAAATATCTTAATTTGAATCTGAATTTTGTTTTTTATTGAGGCAGACAGTAGAATGTCTAAAAACTCTTTGTTAAGAATATCTAGTAGAGGGTTTAAAGTTTTGTAAGTCTTTCACCTCAGTGCTGCATATCTTAGTATCTTAATATCTTAATCGAATTTAGTTTTTATTGAAGCGGGCATGTTTAAAAATCTTTGTTAACAATATCTAGTGTATATGGTCTTGTTATTCTGTGTTGTTGTTAATGGTTTTGGGGATGTTTTGAGAAAACATGCCAACACATTATATGAGATTAGCTGTTATTGGTAGTCAGGTGCTATGGTTTATGCATTTATCATGTCAAGTATTGAGTACTTTTTGAAAACAAATATATTTTTAATTACAAAGGATATTGGATAGAATATTGTTGAGCATGCAGCCTTAATCCATACAGTGTATGCTCTTTTAATTTCGAATGGTTTTGACGTCTAAACAACAACTCTCAGTTTTTGTTCCATTTCTTTATATTGTCTTCCATTTATGGACTTTCAGCAGTCTTTACTAGTTATTTAGATCTTAATTTTGATAAACAATTACTAAAATATATTTTGTTTCAGGAAAACAGTGTATTTTTTTAATATTAAGTATTTCATGACCTGTTTTTTTCATTTTCTTTCAATCTAGAGCCCAGCAAACAGTTGCTGCGACCCGTCTAGCAGCAACTATGAATGAGAAAGACGAGAACGGATGGTACCACATCCATCATGCCGCCTTCCGAGGGTTCATAAAATCCATCGAGAGGTTCGTCAATGCCAATAAAGACCAGTTGGAGTTGGAGACTGAAGATGAGTATCGCTCTACGCCATTATTACTGGCAGTGACCAATGGAAACAAGGAGACGGTTGAGTGTCTCATCTCCCTCGGTGCAAAGGTGAGATTTTCAGAAAAAAAGTGACCAAAATTTGTGGAAGATAAGGTAAAAAAAATATAAGTCATCTTTATGTTGAGAAAATGTTTCATTTTAACGTGACCCTGTAATGGCATTCAAAAGAGCTGCATGCAGGTCATAGAAATTGGCAAATTAATGATTTATTTTAGTGACTACTCAATACACGTCATATATCTCATTATTTCTATTTTGTTTAAATTTTTTTGTTGTTACTTTAATTTTTTTGGATTTACAAAGATTTCTCATTAAAGTCACTTAAAAAAAAGATAATCCTTCTGACATGAAAATCAACTCTTCTTAAATTTTGGAATCATCTTTTTCATATTTGACACAATAACTTCATCAAAGAAAAATTTAAGTAAAAAAAAATAAAAACAATTTAAATTTGATGTTAAACTACCCTTAACAGATATATTGTTTATTTTACTGTTTCATCAGGTGAATGCCATCAACAACCAGAATCATGGTGTTGTGGAGCTGTCAGCAAACAAGCATTTCATTGAGATTCTAGACTTCTTTCTGGAAAAGAACTTTGAGGATCTTCCAGTTTGGAAACGTTTACTGAACTACCTATCATCGGAAGTTGAAGATGAGGCCGAGTCGGCAGGGAAATGTCTACGTACTCTTACTCAGGGGAGTTCCGAGGGAATGCACCCCAACTGGAAGGCAGTGGTCGATAACGGTGGCGTTCCAATCATTGTGAAGGTCATAAAAAGTCAGATTGGCGACAGAGCTAAGACAGAAGCATTACACTGTCTGATAAACCTCATCCCTGAGGATGTTGTTAAGGAACAGGTGGCGTCCTCTGGTGGCATCCCAGCACTGGTTAGACTTTTGAAATCGTCCAATAATTTCATAGTGCAGTTGGCAGCTACGGTCCTCAAAGAGGTTTCTCGGATCACGGAGCTGGCAGACCAGGCTGCCCAAGCAGGGGCAATTCCCAACTTGGTCAAGGTCATACAAACTGTCCGCGACCCCGAGGTTCTTGTGGAGTGTGTGTATTGCTTGGGATTTATCGCTGAGGCGGGAGAGGCCCACCAAGGAACCATAGGAAACACGTCAGGGTGCGTCCAAGCCCTGGTGGGACATTTAGAAGAGGCGCAAAACCAGGATCTACTCATGGCTTTGACTATCAGCATCAGTAAGATTGCTTGTAACAATAAAAACAACCAGAACGCCATTGTGGAGGAGGGTGGTGCCGCGCACATCATCACCCTCACTGGCCTCAAAAACAGAGACCTGCAGCTGTCGGCTGTTGATGCCATTAGGTATTTAGCTGAGAATAACAGCTCGACTCAGAAGACTATCAAAGAGGAGGGCGCCTTGATTCCTCTGAATAACTTGCTCAAGAAAAGCCGAGCCGAGCGTGTTCAGGAGAAAACGGCGGCTGCCTTGTGGGCAGAGGCTGGAGACTATATTGAAGAGCAACGCTCCATGGCTAGTATTATTGGCGTACAGACACTGATTGAGTTCCTGAGCACAGGGTCAGAGAAGCTGCATCTGATTGGCTCAGAGGCCTTGGGGGTCTTATCTCGCGGGGCATTGAATAAACAGACGGAAATTGGCAATGCCAATGGCATTCATTCACTTGTGAGACTTCTCCGCTCAGATAAAGAGCACATAGTCCTGAGTGCTATAAGGACTCTACGATATCTCTGTGTCGGTGTTGGCTACGTTCCCCATTTGCCAAATCAGAATTCTCTTAGTCAGGCGCGGGGAATCAAGTTTCTCGTAGCTTTGATGGTTCATCCAGAGAATGAACTGATAAAAGTTGAAGCTGCTCAAACATTGGGTTGTGTATGTCTGGGTGAGTAGGATCTGTTTTAAGAAAAATTTCACAATTCTAAAGTCATCCCTCAAAGTACAGTAAATACTCGATCTTTTCAATGGACAAAAATGATCAAACTTTCAGACACATTATTTTATAATTCAAAAATTATATTTCTGTATAGGATTTGTGGTGTTTTTACTGCAAAGAATAAAACTATAGATATCCCTGCTTTTTAATTTTGTTGCTACCACTCAATATTTATGTTCTTATTTTCAGAAATTATGACTTAAAAATACAGTAACTGTAAAGTAAACTATTTTCCCTCATTGAAAAGATTGAGTAATTACTGTAAGTTGTTAACTTAATTAGGGAAATGTTTGATTTTAATTTTGTTTAAATTAAATGGGTACAGTGTTATCAATTTGCAGATTGAGAATTTTGTTTGCAAGTGTTATATTGGAATTATTTCAAACTACCTACACAGTAAGATGGCAAGAAAGGCTTCTAGTATAAATTGATTGACATATACCATAGCATTCCATATGTGAAATGAGAGACATTCAGATGTTCATTCTCACAGACGTCTTTGGATTTTAAAGATTTTCAAACAAAAGCTATTGTCCAGACAGCTAGCCTGCCATTCAACAGAGGTGGAGAAATTGTTATAGTAAAGCAATTCCTTGGTGGGGCATTTCTTTATTTTGAAAAGACCCTTTCTTTTTCATAAATTACAAAAAAAAAAAAAAAAAAAACTCAACCCAACCTTAGGTACATATTATGTCTGCCATGTTTAAAGGCTCTAAACCAGACCTAAACTATCCTGCATTCTAGTACAGTACCAGTAGTCAAAACACCACAGCTTGCTTAAAGAAAGCTCTTTTCATTTTGTTCTTGAAAGGTCATTGTTTAGTAAAGTTTGGAGAAACATGCCACCAATGTATACATCACTGGTTTGTATACAGTGAATTCTACAAGCTGTATTATGTATGAGGAGGGCAGGAGTTAATGTTATTGTTGGACTTGAGAACAAATTGTTATAACTACCATTTGCATTATTTGCATTTTTATTTGTTCCCCATCGATTTCTCACTCCCTTATCCTGAAAGGGATAACAACTGTTCATTTTGGTTAAAAAATGGATATTTTGTAGGGTAAATGACAATTTTCCCATACTTACCAGTGGTTAATGAATCCATTCAGACATTGAAAGTTTATTTTTTATTTTTATTTTATTAATAAAAAGTTGGTATTTTGCAATAATCTCTGAAGATATTTTCATGGAGGTATAACCATTTTTTAAGGCCCATGTGGCTTGACGGAAAGCAGAGTCCAAAATAATTGCTATAACCACTGTTTTGGTGTTTTGTATGGCGCCCTTAAGTTCATGGATCACAGGGAATTTTACCTCCATTGCTATGAAACGTTTCTGTCATTGCTAGGATACTGCAGGGGAAAACTATCCCTGTTTTCTTATTACACAAAGGAAAAAACTATTCATGCTTGTTTTTATTCACAAGTAATTGCTTGTGAAAACACGCCCCCCTTCAACAAGAAAAGTCAGTCAAATTCTTATTACTTTGTTAGAGTAATATATGCTCCTTGGAAAATAGATTAATAAGTAATGAAGGTTTTGCTTGCAGGGAAGAAAACTTGTGTGCTAGCTGTTATTTTAAAACTTACAAGTGAAGGCATGGAACTGTACTAGTATATCATTGAACTATTTGATATTTATTATTCATTTCTCACATGTAAAATTTTTTGATATTTATAAATTCATTTCTCACATGTAAAACTATTTGATATTTATTATTCATTTCTCACATGTAAAACTGTTTTCTTATGACATAAAACAATTGATACTGAACAACCCGCTTTTTCTCAAGAAAAGTTGAGTTTTTTAACTTAGAGTCTAATAGTTTTACAGGGAAGAAAATAGTGTGCTGCTATTAAAAACTGACAAGTGAAAGCAGGAACTTTTATAATTAAATTATTTGATATTAATTATTAAATTCTCATATGTTAACATTGCATCCTTCAGGTAATGAAGAAGTCATGAAGGAAATCCAGTCAAATGTGGAATTTAGCTACGTTCGTATTCTACGCATGATGTATTCTCAAGATCCTCTGGTGCGGCTCTTGGCAGGAGCTGCGTTGGCGGCGTTTGCATTCAACAGCGTGACTCAGCAGCGGGAAATAGCAGAGCAAGGTGGCGTGAGGTTCAATTGCTTCGAACCCTTCCTGGTCTCCGTGGATGAGTTTTTCCGTTGTAATGCAGCATTTCAGGTAGGAACTCGGAGGAGTTTCTTTTTCAATTGATTAGATTTCCTTTGAAAATTTGCTTGAAGTCATCTAGATATATAGTGGTTTGGTCAAGTACATGTGAAAAAGAAAAAAAAATATAATAGGAACAAAATTGGCAAAAATGGGTCAAAAATTTCTATTTCACAGTTTCTTGTGCCACTATAAATTGTCTTGTATGAGATTTTTACATACAAGTAAAGTGGTATGTTTTTTTTTTTATTATTGGGTCAATATGCTAAATTGTGATATAATATTTGAAATTGTACTCCCAAATTATCATTACCTGAATGCAGCATCAAAAATAAATAATAATAAAGAAAGCCTTGGCCACCCAAATGCTAAAAATCAACTGACATTTTGCTGAATTCCTTTTTGAGGACCAAAAAATCACTTATGTTTTTGGAAAAATTGCCGATTAGATCCTCAAGTACAGCCAATCAGCGTCTTTGTTTTTTTGCAAAGTGAAAATCGCCATATTTTCTCTCCAGGTTGTCGTTCTCTCTAGAATCATACCAGATGAGGAGCAAGCTGTGTCGTCTGCCAAAGGCATCAAACTACTGGTTGATCTTATACAGGAGTCTCAGAGTGAGACCATACAGAGTTTGGCTGCAGATTGCCTGGCAAGGCTGGCACACACTAGAGCAGGTAAGGGGGAACCCTCTACTCCTTCGCCCCCGCCCCCGCCCCCACCTTCTTCTGCCCACCCAATTACCAGTGGTAGGGCCTTGGATGATAAAAAGTTAGCGGTCCAGCAGGTATCATCTTTTTCAGCAGGGATTCTTTCCTGGGGCGAATTGAGGATGTCTTCGGTGTCCTCTGGAAGACGGTCAGATTTTGGTTTCTAATTTTTTATGTCGGAAGACGGTCAAAAATGGAGGTGGGATCAACAAAGATAATTTGGGAGACTGTCAGAAAAAATATCTGGATGCGCCCCTGCTCTCTGTGGTGCAGTTACCCAAATACCAGTGAGGGTGGGGGGACCTTGGAGTTGTTAACTTGACATGCTTTTAACTGTAACATCATGCCCTCTTCACATACATACACACATGCATATACAAACACACATACATACATACACACACACGTGTCACACATGCATATGAGCACACTCCACAGACATGCACATGCAGGCAAGACACCCGCATACACATGCATACACACATATCATAAAGCAAAGCCAGTGGATGCACAGCTGATGATGAGCTGTATGATAGTGATGTATAGTAATTGTTATTTATATGTTATTTCATTGCCATTGTATCGTTATTTCTTGACCATTATATTGTTATTGTGTTGTTACTGTTTTACTGTTTTAATTGTGTTAACTAGGTTCTTATATTGTACTTGTAAAATCACTGTATGGTATTATTTCTAAATTATATCTAAGATCTAATAAACGGATTGTTTTGTAATACACTGCATTTTATTGTTACTGTATTGTTATTGTAGGTGTTCCTGCAGCTATTGTCTCAATCCATGCTGTAGATTTACTGTATTGTTATTGTTATTGTAGGTGTCCCTGCAGCTATTGTCTCAATCCATGCTGTAGATTTACTATGTAACCTGATGTTGGTGGATGCAGAGTTGGTCCAGGGGTGCGCCGCTGTTGCTCTAGGGTACCTGTCTCATAACCATGATGCTGAACGACAATTACTGAACAGGTAAACACAACATGTCATAAATTACACTAACAAATCATTCAAACTGAAAGATACTAGGTGCTTTTGTTTGGTCATAAAAATAAACACGATATACATCCAGTGTAATCAATTGATGAAAGTAATCTAAGTGCTTAGAATTGAAACAATATATGACAATTAAAAAATATCAATTTACAGTTTTTAATAGCCTTAAACTTATAAATAACACCATTTATGCTGAGTGGCAAATTCCCACACTTTATGAACAGCCCATTTTTTGGACTAACTAGTCCAAGGATTAAATATGGCGACCCACCACAAAGCTTGCTGTCAAATCTGCTAATAGACACTGAATAGATATCCCATTGGGAAGTATTCAAGTGGGTCCACCATTTCTGACCCTGGGACTAGTAAGTCCCCATTCCCAGAGATTAGATCTATCTACTTTAGATTGACCTAACTCCCTGGGGGTTCACGCCTTACAGCTTGTAGTAGGCAGTACGGACATTTAAGCCGGATTATCTGACAGTAATCTAGTGAGACTCCTCACAGGGATAGATTGATCTAAAAGCTCTGGGAATACGCCTTAAGTCCTCTAAGCCAAAGCTTTAATGTTCCTTCTATTTACCCCAGGTGTCGCAAGGACCCTTACTTGATGAAAGCCCTGAAGTATTACTGCAGCAAAGCCAGGTTGTCACCCTCCTTCATTGAGGGCTGGCACCACTACAAGACTGTAGGACTGCCACCTATTGAGTAAGTGCTCTGGAATACCTATACTGCCACCTATTGAGTATGGATATACCTACTGGTAGATGTAAAAAGCTTGCAAATAATTTTGCCAGTAAAACCTGCACCTCAATTTAACAATTTAAGCAAACTTAATACCAGATTTCCATTATCTTAAAGCATGGTGTATATAAAAAAGAAAGAAGAGAATGTACAAGTAGAAGAGTGTTTTTAACTGTATAGAGCTGCAGCTTTGGTGTTATTTGTATCATTTATTTTTATTTTTTATCTTCCACTTTCACAGAGAGGGACGCCCCAGTCTTGTCTCTACACGGAATCTCTACGTCCCAGAGAAGGCCTCGGGACGCCCCATGACCATGCTGAGTGGAGAGGTCGGGTCCAGCTCCAACCCCCACAGCTCACCCTCTCACTTCCTCAGCCAGCAAGAAGACAGTCGTACTAACTTGACAGGGAGATCATCGCGGGCGTCCAGGGCCAGCCACGCAGTCTCGTTCCGTAACCATTCGGGACACAGGTCTCAGATGAGCAATGCAGCAGAGGCGTGATGAGGTATGAGTTGCAAAATCAGTTCACCTGTGACCTACAAGCTGAAGTGTTGGCCTCACTAGGAAGGTGTCTCATCTATGTAACCTTTAACATTTTTTTAGGTTTGGGACTTAGAAAATATCAAATTTGTTATACCAGTATGCCCCCATTCTAAACACACATTTAGTTTCTTCACAAACCTCAGGAGGCTTGTAACACATTTAATATGATGTTCAGATATTGCAGGAAATACTGTTACATGTAGACCCGACCTCATGAAAACCACAATTTTCAGAAAAATATGTCTGTCTTCTTGGTTGTACTCAAATATTTTATACATGTACATACCAGGTATTGCATTAGTGTTGTTTTAAACATGATCAGAAAACATGCTCAGTTCTTATTAAAGATCCATCACTTGTTTCGGCAGACAGAAGTATGGTAGCTGTAAAATTTTCTGCCAAAGAATAACTTTTGTTGTCAGGTAATTTTTGTATTTACAGCTCTTCCATTTCATTATTTTAATCATGACATGCCATGTCTAAAAATGACAGAGTTCTGCCCTTGAGATATGAGTTTGCATGTGGACACTTTCTTAGATAATGCTGTGATCTAGTTCTAGTGGGAACATATTATCAGCTGTTCAATATAAAGAAGAGAGCATTTTTATTGGTAGTTTTTTGAAAGTTTACAGAAACAAAGTAATCTGATTTTTATGCACTCATCAGTTGATGACTAGGTTTGCTCTCATTTATTCAGATCATGTGAGAAAAGCGTAATTATGCTGGCAAAATTGAAAAATTAAAAAATAAAATCTTGAAAATGTGAATAATCATGGTTGAGTCCATATGCTTAAACAGTGTGATATGTGATATATTTATTTATTCATAATGCCAAAAACAACTTAGGTTATATGTGATACAACACAAAAGCATTAATGTTTTGATTACACTTGGTTAATGCCACATCTCACAATTCTAAGAGATGTATTAATTACAGTGGTTATACTGTATTATGGACTTGATTATAAATAAGAATTTAAAAGTGTCAAGATTTCAAGTGGAAGCAGGCATCAGATATAATTGTCATATTTGATATATTGTATTATTTTATGATATTTTGTATCATTGTCATAATGTCCTATATATAGTATCATGGTCATATTTGATATATTGTATCATTTTATGACATATAGTATTATGCTCATATTTGATACCCTATATAATATTGTCATTTTTATTGTTTTTATGTGATTTCATGTGTGACTTTCTTATGCACAAACCTTTATGCCAAAAAGTTTAGCTCAATTATTTATTATAGAGGAATCACCTTAAAATAACTTTTCAATCGCAGTGTTAACATTGGTGTATTTATATTTTTTATATAAATATAATAATTTCAATATTATGCGCAGAAGGTTCGGTGAAAAAGTGCAAATCCACAGTTATCTTATTTAGGTTGATGCTGCAGCATAAGGATGTATCCAAAATATGAGAACTAGACAGGGATTTTAGATTACCAAATATTTTTACCATAGTAAGAGTTCCTTAAGAGTTAATATTTATTAATGCCAATTTTAATACAAATATCACTAGTAAGTTACAATAAAGTACACTTTTTAAAGGTTGTGTATGTATGTACTTTCAGAGGTGTTTATATGTACTTACCAAGTATATATAGAAGTTTTTGCTTTTCATATTGTTGTAAAGCTATTTCTATGTTGTCCTTTTTATATATGGTGTGGGCTATATCAAGTGTTCCTTGTTCTTTTGTACTCTGTTTAATCAGTTTGGAAAAAGAACCACTGTTTACTGTATGTATATACTGGTATATAAGCACTGCATATTATTGTTCATGCACTGTAAGTTGGATGTTAATGTATTAGTACAAATAGAAATATATTTATGTATATGTAAAAGAACTATGGTTATTCTTCTATCTTTAAGATGAAAAAATAATTGTCTTAATGGAGGTAATAGGGTGATCTTCATTTTCAGTAAAGCAGCAAGTGTACACTATTATTGGTTTTGACTTGAATATAATAAAGCATATAATTTCATCAAATTTTGTTAAATGTCTGTAGCCATGTTTTAAGAAAAATCTTTCACTAACACCCCATTTCCATAGATTTTTAGATCGATCTATCCTTGTGGGGAGTCTCACTAGATTACTGTCAGCTTGGCCGGCTTAAGCATCTGTCCTGCCTACTAAAAGCTGTAAGAGGTAATTAACTATGGTGCGGGCTCGTCTGACTGCAATTTAGCGTGACCCCCCAGGGAGTTAGGTCGATCTAAATTTTAATCCCTGGATTGATCTAAATCTCTGGAAATACACCCTTAATGCTCAATTGCCAGCACCAATGACCTGCTTATTATCTCTGAATTGATGCACTTCAAATTTGTAATCAATATTAATTCTTTAAAAATACCTCCACATTTATATACCTTGAATATTTATTCTACCAGTCCTGTCACCACATTTAACTAATTAAATTAGTTGTTTAAAATTTAATTATGTAAATCATACCTCCACATTTAGACATTTTGAATATGAATTCATAGTTTTTAATCAATTAAAATTAATATTGCTGCCAAGAGTAAAATTACCACCATTCAAGGAACTGAGTCATTAAACCTTTAACATCATCACCTGTCCTATTATTAATGTGTTCCTGTGAGAGCATTCACAACAGAGTTGATCCATGGACTAACTAGTCCACGTATCAAATATGGCACCCACTCGTCTATGGATTCCCACCCCCCACACACAGCGGCGGTAGGGCAAGTAAATCTCGGCACACTTTCAAGTGGGTGGTGCCATATTTGACCCACGGATATGTTAGACCGCAGATCAACTTGTTCTGAATGCGCCCTATGTCATAGCATTGTTGTCTAAACGCGCAAACTCCTAATTCGACAGTGATGCAGCAGACATAAGTTCCATCCATATTGTAGCTATTAATTAGCACGTGCTGTCACCTCAAATCAACAGGTGCTCTTGGAATGGAGTGTCTGTTTCCGTCCAACAGCGTCCGAGTGTCCATCTGGCCCGATAGCCGTGTACCCACCATCCACCTTGACGTCCGTCCCCGTGATAAACCCTGCGTCCCTGCTGCAGAGAAACGCGACTACGGCGGCTACCTCGGCGCTCTCCCCACACCGACGTAACATGGGCGACTTTCCCCAGATGGATTGGGCAAGTTCTTTATCGTGGTCGACAATATTTGCGGTCTGAAATGACATACTGGCAGAGTATGAAAAATAGTGAAAATCAATGACCACGATTCCAACATTTCATTTTACAAATTTTTATTTTTATATTCAGTTTTAATCAAAATTTGGTAAAATGTGCCCTGTACGACTAACTCTGAGAAAAGGTTAGGTCTACCGTTGGCGAGGACTTGAGCGTCGTGATGATTAGACCGTGTTTAGAACTGTCAACAATTTAAATCTAAATAAAAAATCATTACCTTAAAACGAATACATATAACTACAGCAATTTAAGTTAGTTAAAGCAAACTTGAAGGCCTCTGCCTTATATGTATGGTTCCGTATGCTAATGCCTCGACCACCTTAATTAATTATTTTTTTGATAAAATTACGCAGCTTATAAGTCATCCAGTTTTATGAAATTGTGTAGTACTAAGGTCTTTAAATGAGAGATGATCCCGGAAGACCACATAAGTAAATCTGGATCGTCAACAAAGAAAATAAATTGGCATGATTGTTTTGACATGGTCATCTACTGTCTGCATGTAAAGATCAATGGAAAACTAAAACCGAATAATGATGTCTGTACATTAAACAGTGCTTATCACGTATCCTTTCAGATAAACGGCTGGCAAAAAAACTCCTGACAAAATATTTTTCATACTAATTATCTTTTTAGTATCACAATCATTGTCCGTTAGGCTACCAGAAACAAAATAATTACGCTTTCTTTTCTTTCCAATTTCTTGTCATCAGTGAATTTCCTGGTCTAACACTCTCCAGCACTCACCAATGAGGTCCAAATCGTTCCTGGTGACACAGAAACAACCCGTATACCATCCCGGGCCAGACTGACGGCCATAGATTTGGACATCTCCACCTCTGCCCCTTTAGAGGACTGGTAAACCCAATTGTTAGGTTGAGTCACAAACGCGCTGCCACTTGCTATGTTGACGACGCACCTGTCACCGGCAGGAGCTGAAATTCGATGAGCACCCTTAGCAAAACTAAAAGTTTGCTGCAACGAGTTTGTGGGAATTTGCATGAAAAAAAATTGCTGCTGCTAATTTGAAGCCATATTACTGCAAATTTGCAAGAAGGAATTGCTATTTGCAGCAACATTGGAGGAAATTTGCAGCGAATTTGCAGCAGATCAGATATATTGCTAAGGGCAGAAATAAGTGTAGGCCTATATCATGTCATTTAAAATAATTTCTATGACGTGATGAGACTGAAACTGCTCACATTGTATTGATTTTTATCCAGAAAGGTCGAAGGAAAAGTATAATGACAGGCTATATCACCAAAAGCTAGAAATTAGATATTATGAAGACATCTGCATAATACTTGTCTTACTCGAAAAGATCAGTTTTCGTGTCAAAGACTTTATTTAAAAAAACAAGAGAGATGGTGAATTATGATGATGATGGTTCTTTAAACTGATCTTTATCCATCTAAATTTAAGGGAGACAAAGGGTAATGGCGACGATTCTTTTAAGCTAAATTCTATCCCTCTTCCTGCGGTGGGTGTGGTATCATTTGAAGCAATGATGAACAAGGATGCCATTTTCTTAAACCCCCTTTACACCGGACGGCGTCCTTTCTCCATCCTTTGAGCGACCATATGAAACTGGCATCGCTGTTGTCGTAGAAAGGAGGCACAAGCATCGCTTTGGTTGGAGAATGAATGCTCAATGATTGGTCAGCTGTCGGCACACATTGTATTATTTTATACTTTCAAAAGGGGCCGTGCTACAGGACGCAGAAATGACGCCGTCCAGTGTAACGGGGGCTTTATCGAACTTGCCACAGGACTTATTTAGTATCAACAGCTGAAACGGAGACTTGTAAATTGTTGCTTAAGTTGGGGGACAGTACGTACCTTTCTTCATGTGAGGATGACAAGCCTGTACCATGTTAGCATACCCCTCCACGTTAACTGCTAGTACCCTTTCCCAGTCGTCCTTCGTGGCTTCTAGACCTGCCCCAATTATATATTTATTCATCAACAGTTCATATATGACAGTCTGATGAAGGCCTAGTGCCTGCATTCACAACAGCTGTCTAACAAATCCGCGGATCAAGCATGGTCGACCAAATTGAATGCTTAGCACGCAATCCCCTCAGGGAATCTACTCAGTGTCTATATTAGGGGATTATGCGGCACGCTTTTAAGTGGGTCGCCATATTTGATCCGCTGATCTGCTATTCCACTGTTGTGAGTGTGGCCAAAGTTCAGATATTATATATTTTATATATTTTGTGTTAAATATGTATCATTTATGAACATTTCATATTGTTTATGCAAGTCATTTGTATTATATGTCATCCAGCACTGTGACTGTACAGGCGATTCTATTCTGTAATATTTTGGAATCGTTAGTATATCTGTGATATGACTTAGGTAAGCACGTCTGCATGGCGTCTGTTCGCTCCTCTTTCAGTAATATAATAAAATGAAATGTTTTTCCTTGAGTCAAAATTGAAAAAAATAAAACAGAATAAGTGGTCTGAAGAATCCGTCGATGAGATGCAGGATCTAAATGGTGTTGATTTAAAAGCGGCAGATGACTAACCTTTGTAAATAAAACAGGCGGCACAGTTTACAAGGTAGTTAATGCTACCGCCATGCTGTTGCGCTATGGCATTAAGGGTCGCAAAACACAGCTTTCTATCAGTCACGTCAACGTTAAAAAACGTCACGTCGTGTCCCTCGCTCTGTGCCTCTGCCTCGTACTCGCGACCTCTGTCTTTGTTGATGTCCAAGAATGCAACCGAGGCTCCGTCGTTGGCAAATCGCCTGACGCACTCCCTCCCAATACCAGACGCTCCGCCAGTCACCACTGCCACGTGTCCCTTAAATCTACCCTTGGTTATGTTTTCGTTAAGGTTCGGTTGAGGAAAATCCATTTTAACAACAGTCAGGTGCATTCACACGCTGGCTGAAACCTCCAGGCTAAAAGAAACACGTGTCAGCAGTCATTTCATAGCTGTGTTACGGTTCAATGGCGTGTTTCTGGCTTGATTACACGAGTATAGATACGCCACAGGAGTGTCATATATGACTTGTAGAAAAACTTTGTAAGATATCACCGAACAGGTGCATGCATGTATCATACAGGGTTACGTAACTAGGTCATTACATAAGATAAAGACGTAAATGTTGACATATGTGAGGGGAGCGCACCCTGAGCTTCAGAGATAACTTGACACTAACCTCTTCACTATAGCCTATCTTCATCGTGTCAAGTTACACGATGAAGATAGGCTATTGTGAAGAGGTTAGCGTCAAGTTATCTCTGAAGCTCAGGGTGGGGGAGCGATAATGAATATATGAATATATGTTTTAATGACTGCTGCGAGGCAAAAAAACTCATGGTCAATGAAAATAAATTATGTGTGAAGAAAAAATCTGTGATGGACGCCCCAGTCTGGTATAATGAATCGTTAAGAAAAGATAGAAGGGCCATTTATCATAATCATCGGGTTAAATAAGGGAACTTCAAAAGACACACAACTATTAGACTTCAACTATTAACTTTTTTTCACCCAACTAGACTACGATATTCAGACAAACTTTCTAGAGTATCAAGAAATGGTTAACGTTGTCAAGCTATGTATGAATCTGCATGGTACTGTATAAACGAATTTAAAGCATCGGTCCAAAAATTACCAAAATATTTAGGCCTAAGTATTTCTATATTAAAGTGAAAAAGGCTGTCAGGATTTTAATAAATTACTTATCAAAAACACGAAAATATGTCAGGTAACTTTATACTGTTTTTGAAAGAGTAAACATTGAAAGATAATTTTAGACAAACTTTGACGGGGGAAATACCTACAAATNGGGGGTTTGAAAGAACCACCCTTTTTGCTGGGAAAAGATCCACTCTGGGTACAATTAAAATTGCTGGCTACGGGCCTGGTTACCGTAAAAGACTATTAATCACAAGTACTAGGGCTGTATTACGTTAATAAACCATGGTGTCCTGTAAACTACACACACAAAACTTACTTATTAATATGTCCCTCAACCGTTGATGATACGGTCTATACGGTGATGCCATGAAGCCAGTGACGTGTCGGGTGCTAGTTGTCTGTAGTTGGTCCCTTTCTTCCTACAAAATACTGCGACCTGATCTGTACTTTAAATACGTCGGCACTTAGTCCTTTTAATCTGATCAAGCCCAACTTCTCTTTCTTTACTTCACTTCTCTCGCCAGTCGTGTCCATCATCCATGGTCATTTTCCTGTTTTTTTCGCTTAGCTTTAACTGCAATGCACCCTACGACACAACATTAGCAATTCGCCATTGTGTTGCTCTATCTCAAATTAGATGACAACGCCAAATTTTACTCAGTGCAATCCTATAACATAGACTTGTGCCCAACTGCGAGAGAAGTTTTAATGGCAGATTTTAACCCCACCTCTCGTGAAATCTCGCTCCAATCCAGGTCTCGTTTGACGTCATCTGTTGCGCAGATATTCAAAATAGGCTATCTCGGATGTTCCCCATTCTAAATCTTAATGTCTAATATGACATGATCTTGATTACTAATTTAACCACAAAATCACAATTTATATCCATAGAAAGCCAGTGGCATCCTTACTAGAGGAAATAACGCTGTATAAAATATCTAAACAGTCATTAAGAATGTTTCCTCATGTTCACCATTTTCAGGGTATATCAGCTTGATTCAAGGAAAAGATATATCAGCTTGATTCAAGGAAAAGCTGCTCCCAAGTTTACTTTCATCATTTAATCTAATTTCACATTTTTTTGTCATAGCCAAAGTACACACACACACACACACACATTATTAAGTTATTTGTAACAATAACAAAGAGATCCACTGCACCAAGTTCTGATTCTGATGTGATATGCATAAACGAAAAGGTTAAATACTGCTACCTCCTTTAAAACAACTTAGGAAACAACAGTACTAGGTAGTTTCAAAACACTAAGGGTGCATTCCCAGAGATTTAGACCGATCCAGAGATTTAGATTTAGATCGACCTAACTCCCTAGGGGTTCATGCGACAGTTAATTACCCCCTTACAGCTTTTAGTAGGCGAGGCAGACGCTTAAGTCGGGTAAGCTGACAGTAATTTAGTGAGACTCCCCACAGGGATAGATCAATCTAAAATCTGTGGGAATGGAGTCTAACCCTGCAGGGACTCTTGCTAAATGAAATCAGATTTACATGCCTCCTGCTGTTTCCAACATATTCATATAATCATCAGCTTTTCTGTATTCTACTCAACGCCAGGAGGCATGTAAAACCTGTTGCATTCTGCAACAGTCGCCAGGAGGCATGTAAAACCTGTTGCATTCTGCAACAGTCCCTGAGGCGTTAGTTTGAACCAGAGGCGGATTTAGGCCGTCTTCTGGATCTTCTGGAAGACGGTCAAATTTTTAATGATAACATTGACGGGTATCTAATTTTTCAGAAAACGGTCAAAAATGGAGGATGGATCAACAAAGATAATTTGGAAGACTGTCAGAAAATATCTCTGGATCTGCCCCTGTGAACTACTTAGTCAGAATAGTTCCATTGTGATTGCACCCTAAGAGCGCATTCTCAACAAATTAAGCCAGGCTTTACAAAGCCGGTGACCTAAAAATGGCGGACGTACATGAAAGAAAAACCGCCTAATCTTTTAATAGTCTCTCCGCCTCCCCACACGTCGTCCCTGCGGGGTACAGTAATTAAATCGCGTCTCCGTTCGCCATGCGGAAGCTACCTGAGAAATATTAAGTGCGCATGCTCATCAGTTAAACTCGTGGTGAAGAAAGCATGGCGGCTGAAGGCGATCGAAGGAAAAAAGCTCTTCTGTTCTATTATCTTTGAAAACAAGAGACGAAAAAGGAATAATTTGGCCCGTAGAGCAGCAATGAATCGACTATCTACAGAGATAATATCACCAGAGATATTCATGGAAATATTAATGTTTCAGAGCCGAGATTTAATTACTGTGCCCCGCAGGGACGACGTGTGGGGAGGCGTGTGAGAGGCGGAGAGACTATTAAAAGATTAGGCGGTTTTTCTTTCATGTACGTCCGCCATTTTTAGGTCACCGGCTTTGTAAAGCCTGGCTTAATTCGTTGAGAATGCACTTTAAGATAGAGTAAATGGGTATATATATATATATACAACTAACAAGTACTGAGGAAATTGTATAAAAATAATGAAATGGTACAGAGTGAAGACTGATAAAATTCTGAGAACTGGAAATAAATGGGAATCTGATATACATGTTCTTGGCAATACTCAGAAAACAGATTTTAAGTACTCTGTTCTCTTTGTCTACTCTCTTTGACGCACTTAAAAATATCCATGATTCACCCACTTTGTATAAAGTACATGTAAGCCCTGGAGTATGCAACCTCATTTTCTTACGTGAAAAATACTAATAAATCAAAGCCATTTTCACATTTAACCTTATATATGAAGCGAGCACCTGCTGGGGCAGTGCACAGATGCACTAGTTACCAGTATTTCAGTACTGTGAACAAAAGACATTATAACACAGTTAAATTTTCAAAGACAGTACAAAATTATACAAGTAGGTAAAAATAGTACAAGACCTGTATTTTTTATGGAACTTAGCCTTTAAAATTGCTGACTATGGGTTTATATGTATACAGTCATTTTTTTTTTTCATTTCAGTAGCTTTTTATAAAATGAAACAAAATAAATACAACAATGTTATCATCATAACTTGAGTATATCATAACATAAACAGTACTTAACAAGCGAATTGTTGAGCTCAAAGGGCAATATTTGTAAACTCTCTTGACTAAACTTTTACTAGTAAATTAAATAATAGAAGAATAAAAAACATTATATCACAAACCATCTTTTCAAATTTATTATTATTATTAGTAGTAGTAGTAGTAGTAGTAGTTATTGTTTAAATAATGTGGCAACCCTAGAAGAGATGGATAAATGCACCGACTAAGGACGCATTCAGATTCATGCAGCATACTACCTGGGTCAGTCCAACTCTGTGGGGGATTATTGCTAAATGGAATCAGTTGAATCAGCTAAATCAGCCCGCAATAGTTCATCATCCCTAACTGCTCAAGGAGGCATGTTAATTTTATTCAATCTGGACCTAGTGCCCAGTCAGAAGTAACATTTCTTTTTTTTTTCAAGGGAAATTCAAATTTATAGGTGGAAAACTCTTAACTCTATTTGTGGCCTTTCAAACTAAACCACTAAACAAAAACAACTGAAAACATAAGCTAGCTATTGGCACTTTAGCAGTATTCCCCTCCAACATATAACTGTCTGATATTCTGTATCTTCTAAATTAATTTGTGTGGTGACTTTGAACAGTCTCTTCTATTAAATAAATCAGTTTGACAATCTATTCAATAGTTAAATGTTTTACATGTAACTTATGCTTAGGCTGTTATCTCATGGGTCAAAGAGCTTGAAGGTTTAATGAAACTTTTAAGAAATTATTCAGTAAATTTCAAAATTAATTTATCTGAATAGCAGATGATTACAGTCGCCGTATAACTAAACTCTTGATTTTATATTTAACATTAAATAAGAGATTATAGGCTGTTTAACTTTAGTACCCCATTGTTTTTATTTAATGTCGAAAGTAGTACAAAGTTCTACTCTTCAATGTCAACTTTCAATTTCAGTCCTTTTGTGACTCTAGACCCTCGGCCTGGAAGATAAAACTGAAAGATTCTTCAAAAGTAAGTCTAACTCGTTCCCACTGACTTACCGACTTGTGTCTTTATTGTAGGATCTTCCAAGATGTCATATCTCTCCAGCTGTTGAATATAGTCGAACAAAGTGGCGATCATACTGTCTTTTTGCTTTTCCCAATCCTTGAGTATGAGTAAAGTATAGCTATCCCTCATGGATTCAAAGTTACTGATATCATCGTTCATAAATCCCATCAGTTCAGCGAGGCCCTTCCAGTCTTTTGAAAACCCCGAGTCGGTGAGAACAACGCTAGGGGGGTTTAGTAACCGAGCGAGAATGTTTCGGACAGACCGGTTTAAAGCTCTCACGGGCACTTCTCTATATTCGCTGTACCAAGGTGGACCGGCTACATCCATTCCGGACGCCATTTGAAGGTCTAATTACCTCACCACCTTGCTCCAGTGAATGGTTTTTGTCCCACAGGAAGACAAATTAATGTATGGTCGACCTCACTTACGTTTTGACCTGCTAGTTGTACTTCCTTGTATCCTGTGCCGTCAAGCGGCTAGTTTGACTTTTACGACATCAACACAAACAAACATGGAGGGGGGGGGAGGAGGGGTTCGTTTCATGTAAGAATATAAGAATTGAACATCTGAGTTAGGTACGTTTGTTGATTAACAAGAATGAATTTTAATGAAATAAAACAGGAGCAACTTTTGATTTATTCGGCATTTTCCCCAAAAAAACTCGCTAATGATAATGTACTCAGTAACTGATTTTAGAAAATGAAATATTATATAGGGCCTAATTATGTTATATACAGATGTAGACCTAACTAGGTAAATACAGAAAAAATGAAGGGGTGGCATAAAATGATTTACATGTTATGCTCGCCAGATAATCCCTGTGCGGTCCGTTTAAGTCGACTAGTATGACTAATATATATGTAATCGAGGGGGTAGATGCAGCGAGGATTCCAATGAACAATTCATTGTAAACAAGTATTGAATTCGGTGGAAGTGTCTCACATCGAGTCGAGAACTATAAAGGGGAAAAAAAGCACAATACGGTGACAATAGACCGTATCAAAAACAGGTAAATACAAACATACTCAGTACTATCACACAGTAGCACCGAACGCAGGGCGGTATTGTGGTTAAAATACTGTAGGCCTACTCAGTATACCTACCTCCTACATAGCTATATACATGTATACTCCCTCAAACCGCTGAATAACGTAGGCCTACGCTTAGAATAATTATTGTTTCTAAACAATCTGGTTTACACTGCAATTCTTTTCAAATAAGCTAAGGAACTAATTGCCAAATTTATACTCTCATCACATAACAGGGGGGTAACCAGACCTGCAAAAATTGTACGCACATATTTAAAAAAAATTACAAGCACATACAGCAAAATGTAGACTTACGCAAAACATGAAGGACAGCGTAATCACAGCAAATGTACCTCATATTGTAGCTTAATTTNGGCCAGCATAAGCCCTGAACGCATCAGACAATTATATGAAACCTTGCTTCGTAGACTGGCACCTATTATTAGGTCACGTGGCTATGCCACTAAGTACTAATTTTGGACTTGAAACTGCATATTTTGGTAGAATGCATATTTTGTTCTAATTTAGTGATTTTTTGTGAATTTTGATGTTAATAAAATGATACCAGGAGCATATCATTCCACAGTCATTTATCTCCCCCATAGTATTGGCTCAGTAGGGGTGACACTTCTTTTGTCCAGTGTGTGTCCCTCATATAGTAGCTTAATTTCCACTAACAATAAAATCATCATTTAAGTCAAAAATATTCTCGCGATTTAATAACTATTTTAATTTACCCAGAACGGTATATTTATTTTAAAGGCGGTTAACTGAAATATAGTTTTATGATTTGTTTGTGAAAATTGCCCATGTCACCCTGTTAGTTTGGAGGTCTAAGCTGGATCAAGTCCGTGTTAAAATTCCTATGAAGTTGTGCAGGAAAAATTCTTCCTTTCTTTAAAGCCAAAAATTTACAAAATGAGCTTTTAATTTGTGTATTTGGATAAAGATATCGTTAGTTGGGCATGTTTTCTGAAGAATATGTTCCGTTCAGGCCATTCTGACGGCAAGACGCAAATCCTTTAAGGTACATGTATCCCTCATGAAGCACATAATACAATGTTCCTCATCGAAACAGAGTAAACTGAAAGTCAACACCACGTTTGTGCCCCTGTTTCATCAACGGTTTTCTTCATCTTATTTCACGCAGTGTCTGCCATTTGTACTGTGAATACATGGACCCCTGTAAATGTTGGTGCCAAAACTCAACAGGCAAACACTTCTTTAACCATTTGGTGGATAATGTAATGTTAGTTCATTAATTTTTTCTTAAACTAAGTGTCTTTGTGTGTGTGTGTGTGTGTGTGTGTGATTGTTGTTCCTTACCAGTATAATTCACGGGGGTGTGGAAGGGAAACAAGGGGGAGCTGCAGTGTCTGAGAGCACCCCTACTTCCAATGCCACGTGGCACAGAGAATGAGAAGTGGGTTGTATATAATACAGTCAATGGGCAGATGGTGGCAGTGTTTGTGAGGCTGTAATCTGGTCATTCTGCTCTGTAAATCTGACATCATTCTTCCTGGTGACAGTATGCTGGCAGAGGAGACTGCAATACTGCCATCTATCGTCATTCTATATGTACTAGTAAGGAGTTTAAATGATGAATTCATGCACAAGAATGGAGGGGGGGGGGGCAGAGAGAGTCGGCAGTGACTGAAAGCACCCCTACTTCCAGTGCTACGTGACACAAAGAATGAGGAGTGGGTTGTAATGGTGAATTAATACAGTCAATGGGTATTGACCAATTGCATAAACCTCATCATCTAAGCATGTTTTTTTTCTAACTCCCGATGACGACAAAAACACAGGAACCATATCTTGCACAATGACATTTTGAATTGATACCCTAATTCCTTAAACCAAATGGCAGATTCAGGAATTATTCGTTGCTGAGACGGAATACTTGTTTAATTGATGAATCCTTTTAAGAAAATATTTTGATTTATTGCATCTCCAAAATTGTCTGAACGTCAAGTGGAACATTTGAAGAATTTACCACGAGAAGACAGTCAATTGCTGACAAACTGTCACCTGCTTCACAGATATTATACAGCATACAACATAAAAGCAGCGCTTTACAATATAACACCAGCATATAGCTGCAGATACATTTCTCACTGACCACAAATAGGTTAACCCAGTAACAGGTTGCTCATATGGCTTAATACGACTCTGATCTGTTCCATTTCATCTATTCTGCATCTACAACGAAGGATTCTTTGCGATAACGGAGGAAATATTTATCAAGTGAAATGTGCTAAATGACCACGAGGGAAGCATTAGGCAGAGCAAGTTTGCGTGACCTGCACACACGATTTGTTCTTCTGTATAATAATAGACAAATACTGTGATAAAGTGCTGAAAACGAAGAAACTTTTGTGAGAACCAAGTGGGGGAGAAACAGATGTAGACAGACTAAGCTGAAACAACTATTTTGACCTCATTTTAACATTATTTTAATTTTGATGCCCAATCTTAGATGATAGAAATGTCAGACTGAGCTTAGAAAGATCCAACATCTAAAATTATGACTGTCAAAGATAATACTGATGCTAATAGACATTGTGGAACTAACATAAGTTGCTGACAAATGTCCTGACCATTGAATAAGTTACAGGAATAATGACGTCCATATGTACCTATCATTCATAGTGATTCAGGTAAAACAAGTTATGACAATTTGTGTTTGATAAATATGTACTGACTCATCGATGAGACCGAGGATTACTGATGACAATGTGCTGTGGATAGATGAAGATGCTGGTGTCGATCAGGAGACTGAAATGTAGATTGAGAATAAAACGCTCACTGGAGGTAAGACTAAGGGAAGATGGTTGAAAACAAGATTGAATATAATTTAAATTTTAAAACTAGAACCATTGATGCCAACGCGATACACCCATGGGAAGCACAATAGATAGATATATAGATAGGGAGATAGGTATATTAATAGATATTGGTTGGTTGGTTGGTTAGTTAAAATAAAGGGAAATAAGAGGTCAGTATGATTGTGGTGAAACATAAATAAAAAATAGATATAGTTTAAAAAACTACATAAATATGAAAATAGGCAACTGACATTGTAAAATACCACTTCAGTTACCTAGGAATGATATATTTTGTCTATGAACCAGTCGGTAATGATCGTAAATATTCAGTTTCTCTGAATTCAGAATCTGTGGCCTGTGTACCCAAGGGGATTATTGAAGATGAATACCATTTTATACTCAATTGCCCAATGTACAAAACAGACCGAGATACCATTTTATATGACCATAGCCGTCACCGGCGTCTGTCGTCGCCGTGCACGTTCACCGATAACACGATGAGTGGTAAACCGTTTCACCTTCTGGCTTGAAACTTACAGAACCTTACTGGAAATTCATTAAACGCAGGTCAAATTCGAAAGTCAGCATGATTGGGCCATTTTTTCAAAAGTCATGCTGTTTTTCCGCCTTTTTTCAGCATATATGCACCACTGATAACACATTTCAACGAAGCCCGTTAGGCCTATTGTCTTGAAACCTACAGGAGTGATCAATCTTAATTATATACAGATCAAGTTCGAAAATAAGCTTGCACGGTTAAAGGGATAATAACTCTTCGTATAAGATCTATATTTCACAATAAAAACATTGTGTATAACTCACAGATATATAATATATTCTGTTTTACCACAAGAATGGCAGTTATAGCTATTATTCTTAAATCTGAGCTTGTCTTTAGATCACATGACCTCCACTGATGGCTATACTCTGTTAAAACCTCTTAAGAGATTTTATCAAAAAACCAAACTTTTTAGAAAAAACCAGGGACTAACTTTGAATGTAAAAACGGATTCATTAACCATTGGTAAGTATGAGAAAATTGTTGTTTACTCCAGGAAAATTCATTTTTTGGCAGAAACGAAGAGTTATTATCCCTTTAAGTTATGCCTTTTTTGTATATAAGTGGTTTTTTCCTCACATTGAATTATTAGGCATGTTAACAGTCTTATAATTGAAGTAATTAGATACGTGTTCTTTTGACATTTTCTGCATCTTTACAATATTGTTAGTTGATTATATAAAAATGATAGAACATCTGTAATCGTGTATTGTGTAATAAAGTGTCAAAAATGTAAATAAACCCATATCATTGTGGTTTGTCAATCTTTTACTATGTGCAGAATCTCAGAATGGAGCAAATTGGACATTTAAAATTGTTCTATTGAAATTTTCCTATGTTTAACATTTTCTCAGTTGATCATAAAAGAAACAGTAAATTGATGATTTTGTTTTACACTGATGCTCATAAGTTAAGCAACACCCCGATTTTTTCAAAAATTTTCTTCTATCATGATTATAATTTCATTTGTTGATGGGGTTATGCATATTTCTTTCATATTTTATAAATAACTTATTCAAGTTGAATATTTCTGTTAAATATATACACAACATAGCTTATTGTAATAATCAAAATAACTTTATTAACCAAACGGTACTAAAATATGCCAAACCATGTGTCAAAAAAGTATGCTCACACAACAAAAAGTACGTGCTGATTAAAACAGCTTATTATGAAAAAATAAAGTTCGATCATCTAAGAATTAGTTTTAATAAAAGAAGACTGTAGATAATAGATGATTAATCGTCTATTATGCAATAAATATCGGGTGTGCCTTCCCTTGTTTTGAACAACAGCTTCACATTGTCTCCTGCAACTTGCCATCAAATTCTGCCAATCTTGCTTTGAGAGCCGTTCCATTCTTCATTTACTGCCTGCTGGATCTCTCTTATGTTTCTAACTGGAGGTTGTCTCTCGTTTACTGCCCTGTCAATCATATCCTAAGCATGTTCTATTACATTGAGAATTGTTATGCAGGCCAATCCAAATGTGGGATACCGCGCTGTTGCAGCGCGTCTTGCACGGACCATGCTTTCTGGATGGGCGCATTGTCCTGCTCCAAAATGATTTTTCTCTCTGTATTTGCTTGAATGTGTGATTGTATGCACCCCAATGGTATTTCGTCTCTGTATTGTTGACCAGGGCACCTCCCTTGAATGACGTACGGTGGCAATTTTTCATTGTTTGGCTGATATGAACTGGTCCTGGTGGCATAATCGAACCAGATATCTCTTGCGTCGGTTAATATTATTCTACCAGAAAGAGGCTTGTCCAATACATGATGAGTTTGGCGCCATTTTGCTACCAGCTTGGACACTTGACTTGGTGCTACTTTTTTGTTGCCTTGCAATCTGTCTCTTTGGCACCCCAGCACGATGGCTTCCCATTATTTGCCATCTGATTACCTCGTTGAGTCCTCTTTTAACCATTGGTTGGTCCAAAATAACAAATTGTGCCCATGAAACTAGCCAAACTGGAAGCTCCTCATGGCATGACCAAACTGTGTTTTTCGCAAGTGGGACCCCCATTGCATATTCTATCGTGTCCAACAGTAAATAGTACTCTAATGTCGAGGTCCAGTAAGTCAAAGTAAAAACAAGAGAAATGTCTAGCTATTGTATAAATTTTGCCTCAATAAAAATTTTGGTTGCTGAGAAACTCGAGAAATAAGAAAGTGTTGCTTAACTTATGAGCATCAGTGTATGTAAAAATTGTGTTGAAAATGGAAATTAACTCATTTCAGTACAGTTATCTTTTTTTTTTACATATTGGCATTTTCAAGGTGTGACTCTGAACTTCAATGGGCTTGAAAACGTTTGCAAGTCACATTCTCTGAATTTCCAACTGTAAAAGAGTTGGAAAAGCAGTCTAATTGGTTTTTTTTTTGTTGTACATTTTTGTGAAATTTTTATCTTTCATATACTGGCATTTTCAGTGTGGGACTTCAGTAGTAACCAAATTGTCTAAATGTCCATGTTATTAACAGTAGATAATATAATGTTGCTTTTAAATCACTTGAATGATGTCAGAAACGTGATTTAAATGAAGATAAAACGTTGATTTTCCATGAATACAGCGTTCCATTTGACACGTAAGATACATTTAATCTTGAATTTGATAGAAAGTAGGAAAAGTGATTTAATATTTATGAAGGATTTATGTTCAAGGTTTGCGGCAAAGAAATGCTTTCAGCTGGCTCAAACACTTCATCAAATATGCGACGTCTTTGCTTTTTCCACCATATATTACTTGAGCTCCTAGACACTAATTAAAATCTTCAGACGAAACGGAATACACTGATAAAAAGAGAAATGACAACATATGGCAGCTGAAAACAGATTTTGGTACCCATGAATCATAACGGAGTGACTGAGGATGGGGAAAGCTACGTACGCCAGGGCAAATAAGAAACTAGCAACGCGCGTCTTTGTATAGCTAAGACAACACCGTGAAACAGTTTGAATCTCTATATTTTCCAAATTATCACCTGTAAAAGAATTGCATGCCCCACAAAGGACACTCGTGTCAGTCTCTAGTCACAGCAACGGTCGCTGGTGCGTCTGACATCATCATGCTGCTACCAGGGCTCTCAGTCGGTTTTGGGATATAGGTCTTGTCTGATGTCTGGCCTCTAGGATGTCTGGAAACTCTAATTTGATCACTTAAGCGGTACAGGTGAAATTTGACCCCAATAAAGAAAGTCACGCGGTTTCAGTTCATTACAGAAACAGACAACGATGTTTTGCTGTTTACATGGGTTTCTTCAGAGGTCGTCTGGTATTCCAACTTCTCTTTTAATCCTTTTTAACTATGACATTTTATAAGATTTATATCGTAAAGAGGAAGATGGGTTATCATATAACTGTAACTCGAACTGAACATGTGAATGATAAGATGACATGCATACACAGTGTGGAATATACCTTAAAGTAATAAGATAGAAAAAATAAGTCTTACGTAATCTAACCACGCAAAATTTTCTGCTTAAGACAGCTGAAACCCGCATTAATTAAGCTAGAATGTCTTCAAAAATACTAAATATTTCAGACATTAAGGTTCCTTGTGGTTTAATTAAGAAAGACTTCTAGGTTTTAGTGGATGAGTCAAAGATTTTCTTAAGTCTCTTTGGAGGGGGGGGGGGATAGCAACGTGCCATCATTACTCAGGGTTTGCTGATAACGTTATGAAAGTGGACGGGGACAAAATATGAACACTTTGTATTGTCCTCCCTTTTTGTCTGATGCCTGCTAAAACATTCAGTTTGTAGATTATAACTCATTGTACCCCCATAAGTAAAAAAGGCATTGTAAATGCATATCGAAGGAGAAAAACGCTTTGAAAATTAAATGGCCAGTTAATGGAATCTTATACATCAAATACCCCTGGAAGTTTAGACGAATTTGTAGTAATCGTTGTCCCACACTCTATTAGAAATGGCCTGAGAATTCATTGATTTAGGGTAGGCTAGATTTGTATTATTTTGCCTTACGCAAGACATAAACAAACCTTTCTCACTTTCAATACCAAGGCGATAAATTATTTAGCTAATTAAAATGTTGGATAATTACTTAATTATAGTTATACATACGTAAACACCACCGGTCCCCACACCACCACATTAATTTTATTTTGTTAGTGAATTTTTCATTTGACAGACTAATTCGTCCCAGAAATCCACATCTTTTAATTACCTGTTACTCAATTAACGAGAAGGGTGTCGCGGTGGTCTTCAACAAAAATATTCTTGGATGAGCTATAGACTCATAAAATTGTGAGGCATTAAAACTGGTTGATAGAAAAAGAAAATGAATGGGGGATGAGCTAGCTCAAAGAAATTGCGTTATCAATTGGGGTTGACTTGCAAATTCGATCACCGCTATAACATAGATATAAAGTAATTTCCCCCAGGTCTGCTCCACAATGACGTC